TTTTTTTTTTTTTTTTTTTGAGATAGTCTCACTCTGTTGCCCCAGGCTTGAGTTCTGTGGCATCAGACATCATACTAGCTCACAGCAATGTCAGATTCCTGGATTTAAGTAATTTTCCTGCTTCAGCCTCCTGAATATCTGGGCCTATAGGCACCTGCCACAATGCACCACTAATTTTTCTTTTTCTTTTCTTTATTTTTATTTATTTTGCAGTTTTTGGCCAGGGCTGGGTTTGAACCAGCCACCTCTGGTATATGGGGCCAGCGCCCTACTCCTAATTTTTCTATTTTTAGGAGGGATGAGATCTCACTCTTGCTCAGAGTGGTCTTGAACTCCAGAGCTCAAGCAGTCCTCTCCTACCTCAGGCTCCCAGAGTGCTAGGATCATAGGCATGAACTGCTATGCCCAGATGAGATTCTGTTTTTCTGATAAGTTTGCTGGTGAGGCTGATGTTGCTGGACTAAAGGGCCACACTTTTGTTTTGTTTTGTTTTGGTTTTGAGACAGAGTCTCACTATGTTGCCCTGTGTAGAGTACTTTAGCGTCACAGCTCACAGCAACCTCAAACTCTTGGGCTAAAGCAATTGTCTTTGCCTCAGCCTCCCGAGTAGCTGGGACTACAGGTGCCCACCACAACGCCTGTCTATTTTTTTGGTTGCAGTTGTCAATGTTGTTTAGTGGGCTTGGGCCAGGCTAGAAACGCCAGCTTTGGTGTATGTAGCCGGTGCCCTACTCACTGAGCTATGGGCACCAAACCTCAGGGGCCACACTTTGAGTAGCAAGGATGTAAACATTGCTTCTGTCAAAAGAAAGATGGAAAACAAGAGAGGGAAGAAAGGAAAAGAAGGTCCCAAGTGGCACCCAAATCCCTGACTCCTTTGACAACACTCACCACTACCATACGCTGACAGTTGTCCCTGTTTTACCTCTCTTTAGCATGGCTGACAGTGGGGCTCTCCTCTGTGTCACAAGGAGATAGAAAGAGACTCTTCACCACCTTAGTCTCCGTGTTCCGTTCCGCCTCTAAGACTGAGCGGAAACATTTCACCGTGCTGGTCCACTTGGCAGATTCTGATCTCACCTGGCTCAGAGAAACTGTTGCACATATTTCAAGCCTCTTCAGCTCACAGATCTTGGCAGGCCAGTTGCTACTGATCCATGCTCCATCCGATGTCTATTCCTCTGTGGATGAGGCCTTCGAGGGGAAATTCTATTCCAAGGAGAACATAGATCACGCCTTCCTTGTCAGCTTTGCCACAAAGCTCTCTGATTACTTCTTATTAATAGAGGACAATGTCTTTTGTGCCCCCAATTTTGTCACCCACATTGTTTCAAAGGTGGCCGAAATGAAGTCCAACCCCTGGGTGCTACTGGAGTTCTCCAACAGGGGCTTCCTTGGCAAACTCTTCCACAATAGAGATCTCCCACTCCTGGCCCATTTCCTTCTCCTCTTCTACAAGGAGAAGCCCCTTGACAGACTGATCTCTCATTTCCGCACCCTCATGGTCCAGGAAAATCCAATCTTCTGCAGACCATTTCTCTTCTACCACCGGACCACATATGGCATCTTCTATGACAAGCAGAAGGCCATGGTATTTCAGGAAAAGAATGCGTCTGGTCCTAACAACCCACCCGGAGCTGTTTTCACAGATATGAAAGTGTTTAATGTTCATTTCCCATGGGAGGCCTACACTCTGGATGAGTCATTTTTTTGGACATCCAACGTAAGTATAGGAAACCACCTGACAGTGATTCTGAACCAGCCAGCAAACCTGAGCAGAGTGCAAGTGCTGACTGGCTCCATCGTGGATGGAAGGTATTCCCTGGAGAAGGGGCAAGTGGAGCTAGGATACAACCGTGAGGGCATGCCTCAGTCCTGCACCAGCTTCGCTTTCCTAGGCCATCTCTTGGAAGGACAGATGGACCAGGTGATATTTCTGAAAAGTCTGGGATATCATGTGAGTTG